GGGTCAGGGTCTGTGTGTGCACCTGGGGCAGGAACCCGGGGGGCGGCTCATGAAAGTCTGGTTTCCACAGGTGCCCCCTCAGCTGAGACAGCCCCGCCTGCCCTCCGCAGTGTCGCATTCCACTTCCTGCTGGCCTTGGCAGGCAGCGTGGGAGCCCTTTGAGGTCCCTGTGAGGGTCGTGACCCTCGCCATACTTGGACGGCTTGGGGGGGGCGGGGCATCTCAGACCTCCTGAGGTGAGAACACCCCTTCCTGGCCGGAGCCCAGCCCTCTCACTGGCTGATCCGGAACAGGTTTAAGGGGAGAGCGTGAGAAGCTGAGCCCAGACATCTGGATGGAAGGCAGGATGGGGCCCCGTGCATGGCCCCGGGTGGTCTGAAAGGACACAGGGGGACTCCAGGGGAACCGGCGGGCAGCACGGGCGAGGCGTGTGAAAACAAGCCCGGCTGGCAGAGGAGAGCCTGCACTGGGGCAGGCGGGGGGGGCGGGCACTAGGGGAGGGGCTGGGTGGTGAGGGTCTCAGCAGAAAGGAGGATACCATATACCACATACCCAGCCTCGAGACAGGGGCAGGGGGTGGAGGTGGGCCAAGGCAGTGCAGACCAGGGAAGGTGGGAGGGTGGGGCTGAGGGTGAGTGGGTGTGGGAAGCACAGTGGGCCCAGACTGGGTCACAGGTGACCCCAAACCCCACACGTGCGGGTGCTGAGGGCCAAGGGGCAGCACGTAGCTGCCCCCACTCAGCCTGCGATGGCGCCTCGTTGCCGAGGGAGCAGGGCCAGAGCTCGGGCCAGACCATGAGCCTGGGGGCCCTGGGGGAGGCACATCTGAGGAAACTGTGAATTCTGAGTCGTGATGAAGCAGTAGGCCTATCAAGAGAACAGACACACGACAGACAGGAACGAACACATGGGAATACGCAGGGATGGGCACACGGGGCTGGGCGGGAACGGACGGACAGAGGAGGCTGAGCGAGGACGAATGGACAAAGGTGACCTGCCCCAGGGCTGGAATGGACAGACATGACCTGCCCCAGGGCTGAGCAGAGCCAGGAGCAGCCCAACCCAGGCTGGAAAGAAGGCAGCAAGGCTCTGTCAGGGTCTCAGGGCAAGGGCTCGCTACGGGGGGCGGGCAGGCTGCATCTCACTCCTCATACCCAACAATTCCAGATGATCAAAAACCCCGACACGCGAAGCACAACCTACAACCCGAATGGGGTGTCTCTATAAAGTCAGAGAGGAGGAGCTGAAGGCAAGTCTCGAAGCAAAGGCCAATGAATGAAAACACGGCTGAACTAAGAACCGTAACTCTAAACTAAAAGCGCACGGCAGACACGGGACAGAGAGCCCAGGGAGGGAGACATGCTGGTGATGACAGCGGGGGCTCTTCCAGGCAGTGAGGGAGACGTGCAGCCAGAGAGGAGGACAGGGCGGCCCTGGGCAGGCGGTCCCCGAGGACAAACCCAGACAGGCAGTGAGTGGCCTCAGCAGGAGGCAAGGACACAAAGGGGCCCTCCAACAGCACAGAGGCCTTTCCCACCTTCAGATCGGCGGGGGCCCAAGTCACCCAGCGCTGCCAGCAGGTGAGGGGCAGGGGTCCTCGGCGGGGTGTGACGGGCAGCGTGTGGCCATGAGTGGAATACCCGTCCAGGTGCCCCTCCGCCTGCCAGTGCCCCGAGCAGCACACAGGCGGAGGGGACGGTCACTGCAGAGGGAGAACCCGGAGGGGCCCTCACTGTCTACCAGCAAACACAGGATAAAGGCACCTCAGTCCAATCCCATGAAAAGAGGACACAGGCACATCGACGCGCTAGCTTCTTGCGCCCACAGGGATAAACCTCCCCGGCCAGGCCGGGTAAGAACCAAGCTGCAAATTTGTGCTGTCAGATACCGCTGGTCTCCACCTGGCACATAAGTGCCCAGCAGGGACACGGCTCCACGGTGCCCGGTGGCCAGGGGGGCACCCCGCGGCCTGTGGGGAGGGGGTCTGACTGCGCAGCGAGGGGCTGAGTCTGCTCGACCCCGCGGGCTGTGCTGCTGTCTGAGGAAGGCAAAGGCTACATTCCCCTCAATGACGTCCCAGGACCTGGCCGAACGGCTTGTTTTCTGGAACCTACTTTTTAACCAGTTAATGTGTGATCTGAGCAGGCAGCAGATGGGGTTTCTGACTTTTGGCTGCAGAGATTTTTGTTATTTTGGTACTTTAACAATAGCTTCACAAGAAATGTCCACTCCTAAAAATCACCTCAGCGGTGGACGTGGCCTTCCTTTCTGAGCAGACGGGTTCCGAAAGCACGTATCTGGTCAGTCACAGGCCCAGGGATGTGAGGGATGGCTGGCACCCAGAGGGGTGCTGCGAGCAGACACGGGCTCTAGTCCCACTGGGGACACGCCAGCACTGGGGGGGGCATCAAAGCATCACACACAGGCACAGTCACGTGGCAGGATTTCCACCGTTCAAGGGGGCCTCTGAGGGGACACCCTCCATTCACATGGCAATTGCCTTTGATTTAAACAGCTCCAGAGCCCGGCTGAGGTGAGAGCAAAGTCTGGCGAGGACAGGCGGGGGCTTCGCTAACAAAACACACGGGCCTGGCCCAGGGCGTGACCTCGGAGGCCCAGGGATGTGGGGCACGGGGGCCAGTGGCCACCCTGGTGGGGAAGACAGGGGGGCCTGGATCCACCCCCGGCTTCTGAGGAGCTGCCTGCTCAGGGCAGGCAGGGCGGCCGTGGGGTCCTGGAGGTCCTCAGGTGGCGGGGGGGGGACGGCGCAGAGGTGTCCCACTGTGGACAGGTGCCCGCGAGGGTACCGTCACCGACAAACCCTCTCCAACGATACAAGTTTGAAAATAATTCCTTTGGATAGAGCCTGTTGTTACCCCTACTCTACGCCTGGGTGAACTGCGGGAGAGACAGGGACTCGTGACTTTGGCCCGTGTACACTCCCTGGTAAAGACTCAGTGTGACCCTTGTCCCGTTGCCAAGGAGAAGGAACATTCCTGCAATAATCTCCTTAGCAAACAGCTGTCTAAATCTCTGCTGGAAGCAAGTGCCCTGCAGGGCTTAACGTGGGGCCTGGAATGCACATGGGTCCTAAGGGGCAGGGCCTCCTCCGCCTCAGGCCTGAGGTGGTGCCCACATGCAGGGGGTGGGGGCTGAGGGAGAAAGGGGTGGGAACGGGGAGCGGGGG